GTCCCCTGCTAAGCCCCCCCTGCAGCCCAGCAGCCCTAGCACGGCACTGGGGCATTGGGCCAGCACTGCCGGGTCGGTGCCTGTCCAGCACCGTATCCCCTGCAGGAACCTGGCTGCCCTGGGGGGTCTCCACTCCACGGCCCCCTGGCAGCCCCCACCCTGTCCGGGCCCCGAGGGGCCCACAGCCCAGCGCAGGCAGCACCGAGGCTGGGCAGGTCACAGGCTCCGCACAGCCGGCACTGGGGGGATCTGCGGGGCTGGTTGCAGCATTGCTCCCGGCTCTGCCCGCCCTACCAGGGCAGCAACCCCCACTCACAACTGAGCCCCACACGTCTCATCTCCCCCACACCCAGCGACTGAGCCCCACACGTCTCATCTCCCCCTCCCCCCCCGGCGACCGAGTCCCACACGTCTCCTCTCCCCTCCAGACCCTCCCAGCAACCAAGCCCCACATGTCTCGTCTCCCATTCCGCCCTCCCAGTGATCGAGCCCCACACATCTCATCTCCCTCCCCCCACCCCCGGCGACCGAGCCCCACACGTCTCCTCTCCCCTCCAGCACTCCAACCCCCAGTGACGGAGCCCCATGTCTCAGGTCTCCTCCATCCCCCCCGCGATGGAGCCCAGCGTCCCTCCCCCGCGATGGAGCCCAGCCTGCCCCTCACGCTGAGGGAGAGCAGCCGGAGCGAGGGGCCGGGGGGCCCTGCCCCTCTCCTACCTGAGCCATGGGGGGGCCACCAGGCAGAGGGGGACGGGGCCGAGCTGCTGCTGCCTGTGCCCCGCTCCGGCCCCGCAGCCCGGCAGCCGGCGCGGAGCTTTATGGGGCTCTGCCGACCCGGGAAGGTCGCGGCCGCGGGAGGGATGGGAGCAGCGGGAGGTGACAGGCGGCTCCTTCCCTCGGTGCCACTCCAAATATTGACAGAGGCTCCCCGCGCCAGGGCCGCCGGCCGCCAGCTCCGGCACACGCCTGAAGGTGCCCTCTGCGCTGGAGCGGCTCCCCCGGGCTCCCACCAGCATCTCCGGTGAGTCCCACGCCTGCCCCGGGACCTCCCCCGCCCATGGGGCAGGGCAGGGGCCCCAGAGCTCCCCACCCCACTGGGGCCTGAGTGCAGGGCCCCCCTCGCCCCAGCTATGCTAGGCAAGCCCCCCCTCTCCCACGGGTGCTGTGCAATGGGGGATGGGCCCCCTTCTCCCAGGGATGCTGTGCTGGGGGGCAGGCCCCCTCTCCCATCGGTGCTGTGCTGGGGGGCAGGCCCCCCCTTCTCCTGGGGCCTGGTGTGGGCACTAGCCAAGTGAGGAGGCAGTCTGTGGGTCCTGACCCCCACCCCCAGCCCTGGATGGAGACTGTCCCTGGGACATGGCCCTTCCCAAAGCGGGGTGCAGAGGGGGACTGCCTGGGGGCTGTGGGAGGAAGGCAGTGCCCCCTGCCCGGCACAACTGCCTCTAGCCTGCCAGTGCTGCCCCCCGATCACTGTCCCCACGAGGGCCTGATGTGCAGCCCCTCCCGCCTCCCCACCCTGCCGGGACCCCACATTGACCTCTCCATCCCCCTCACTCCTCGATCTCCCCGCCCCACCCCAGTGCGACCCCTGACATTCCCCTCACTCCTCGCCATCCCCGCCCCACCCCAGTGCGACCCCTTACATCCCTCTCACTCCTCGCCATCCCCAACGCACCCCACCGTGTCCCCCGACATCCCCGCCCAACCCCTGCTGTGACCCCTGACATCCCCCTCACTCCTCGCCATCCCCAACCCACCCCACTGTGTCCCCCGACCTCCCCGCCCCACCCCCGCCGTGTTCCCCGACCTCTGCACCACGACACCGACCTCCCCATCCCACCCCCGCTGTGACCCCCGACCTCCGCGTCTGGTCCTTGCCGTGCCCCAAACGACCCCTGCTGTCCTGAATCAGCTACAACACTCAGTGACCCCATCCCCACCGCAACCCCAACCTCCCCCACCCCACTGCCTGCCCCACATCCTCACTGCCCACATCCTCAGTAAGCTGCCCACCCCACGGCCTGCCCCACATCCTCACTGCCCTGCCCATCCCACTGCCTGCCCCACATCCTCACTGCCCAGCCCAGCCCCCAGTCCCACTGCCTGCCCCACATCCTCACTGCCCAGCCCAGCCCCCAGCCCCACTGCCTGCCCCACATCCTCACTGCCCAGCCCACCCCATTGTGTGCCCCACATCTTCACTGCCCACATCCTCAGTAAGCTGCCCACCCCACAGCCTGCCCCACATCCTCACTGCCCTGCCCAGCCCCCAGCCCCACTGCCTGCCCCACATCCTCACTGCCCAGCCCCTCTGCCTGCCCCACATCCTCACTGCCTAGCCCACCCCATTGTGTGTCCCACATCCTCACTGCCCACATCCTCAGTAAGCTGCCCACCCCACGGCCTGCCCCACATCCTCACTGCCCAGCCCAGCCCCCAGTCCCCACTGCCTGCCCCACATCCTCACTGCCCTGCCCAGCCCCCAGCCCCACTGCTTGCCCCACATCCTCACTGCCCTGCCCACCTCACTGCCTGCCCCACTGCCTGCCCCACATCCTCACTGCCTAGCTCACCCCATTGCTCAGCCACACATCCTCACTGCCCAGCCCAGTCCCACTGCCTGCCCCACATTCTCACTGTCCAGCCCAGCCCCACTGCCCTGCCCCATATCCTCACTGTTCAGCCCACCCCGCTGCCTGCCCCACATCCTCACTGCCCTGCCCACCCCACTGTGTGCCCCACATTCTCACTGTCCAGCCCAGCCCCACTGCTCTACCCCATATCCTCATTGTTCAGCCCACCCCACTGCCTGCCCCACATCCTCACTGCCCAGCCCAGCCCCACTGCCTGCCCCACATCCTCACTGCCCTGCCCAGCCCCCAGCCCCACACCCTCCCTGCCCACTCCACTATTCTGCCCCGCATCCTCCCCTGCTGTCCCACCTCTCCTCATTGCCCCACATCCCAGCCCCTCCCCCTTTCCCTTCCTGTCTCACTGCCCCATCCATTAGCCCAGCCGGTCCCTGTCGTCAGCTCGCCCAGGCCAAAGCAGCCCCCAGGCAGTATAGCCCTAGAGCCCGCAGTGCTGGGGGGCTAGACATGCCTTGTGCTGCTGCCCCTGGCCGGTCTCTGGGGAGAGTGGGCCCCGGGGCTGGGCACAGAGATGTAGAGAGACCCTGTGGGCACAGCCCTGCCCTGGGGCTCCCCGGCCAGCCCCACAGTGCAGTGTGTGCCAGGAGCTGCAGCTCCTCTCCCGGGCCCAGGCCCAGGCGCGTCCTACCTGGCAGCCCAGCAGAAAGTCCATGGGAGCAGGAGCCGCCCAGAGGAGGCCGGAGGGGCAGGAGGGCGCGCGGCAGCCCCAACCCACATCACGTGCTGGCTGTTGCCTCGGCAATGGGGACCCGGCCCAATAGCCCAGGCCAGGCACCCAGTGGCTGGGCTCGCAGGGTAAATCATTAACCTGCTACCTGCAGACGTGCCGCGGCGATAACCCGGCAAGCAGCTTCCGTGCGGGGCAGGCGCCCAGGCGCGGCGAGCAACAGAGCCATGAGCCAAAGCGGGGCCCAGCAACGCCGGGGGGGGGGGTCTCCAGGCAAACGCCAAACCGAGCCCCCTGCTGCCCAAAGTGAAACATGGCCCGTAGCCCCCCAGCACAGCCCCCCAGCCCTGCCCACATCCTCACAGAGACCCCAGCACAGCCCCCCAGTGCCAGGCCAGAGCAGCCCCCCAGCACAGCCCCAGCCCTGGCCACATCCTCACAGAGACCCCAGCACAGCCCCCCAGTGCCAGGCCAGGGCAGAGCCCCAGCACACAGCCCTGTGCCCTCTGCCCCCCCAGCACACAGCCCTGTACTCCCTGTTGCCCACAAAGCCCTGTACCCCCTGCTGCCCCCCAGCACACAGTCCTATACCCCCTGCCCCCCCAGCACACAGCCCTGTACCCTCTGCCCGCCCCCCCCCAGGTGCTGCTGTGGTGAGTTGGTTGCAATGGAGAACTAAGCCAGCAGCTTGGGGGCCAAGGGGCTCTGCCATCAAGGAGGCTCAAGAGATATGTGGGGCAGCTGCCAGGCTACACATCAGCCTGGGGGAAAGGCCAACGGCCACACAAACCCACCCCATAGCACAGAGCTGGGCCCCACAGAATGGGGGGAGGGGAGCTGTGACCAAGTGAGAATATTTGGTAATATTTTTATGAAGGCTGTTTGTGCCTCAGTTTCCCCATACGCTGTCTTGTTGCCTGGGGGGGGAGGGGAGGGGCCTGTCTGCTCCCAGGTCCGGCTGAGACACAGGCGCGGGTTCCCCTGGCTGGGCCTGGTCCCCATCTCAGTGAGACAACGGCAAATCCAGTCACCCGGACATGGACACCAGGCAACCCCCGGCCCCAAGGGGAATGGACCCTCCCCACACACAGGGGGGCTGGACAAGGATCTCCCCGGTGGAGAACCCAGGGCTGGGAGAGGGGAGGGAGGTTACGTGGGGTCGCGGGAAGCAGTCGGGCTCTCACCTGGAGTCTGACAGACAGACAGCGCCGGACCCCAGGGTTCCCCACAGCCGGGCTGGGCTCGGGGCTGGCCAGGACGGACCCTGCTTCGCCCTTCATTGTCCCGGGCTGCCCTAAGGCCCCTAGGCCGGGCGCCCCTACCGACTGACCCCAGCTGTGCCAGCGCTGGGAGTGTCCCTGCCGGGGCTGAGCGAGGGGCCGAGTCTCCCTGTCTCCCTCAGGGTCCGGGGGACTTGCTGCCCGGAGCTCGCGGGGGGGCAGGGGGGCGAGGGCTGCAGGCCCAGAGGGCCAGTCTAGGGCGCGGTGGGGCCGCGTGGCTCACCCTGGAGGCAGAGTGGGACCCCCAGGAGGCTGGCCCAGTGAAGGGGCCTCCCAGAGACCATCCCAAAGCTGGGGGTGCAGCCACGAGCCTGTGGGTTCATGACAGGAGCCCTCTCTGGGGCTGGTCCTCACCCCTCCGCAGGGCATGGGGTGACCCTGCCAGCCAGGCCAGAGGATACAGGTCCCAGGGGTTAGCTTGCTGGGCCAAGTCCCTGCAAAAACACTGGATGGCAGCTGCCCCAGGCTCCGCACGCGGGCCCCACCGCTCAGCCGTTGGCTCTGCCCTGTGGTCCCGGGGGGGCTCCAGCCGTCCACGCCTCCTACTTACGCTCTCGAAGGCAGAGGAGACGATGTGGTGAATCCCGGAGGAAACCTGGGAGCGGCTCATGGTGCAGGCCAGTGGCTGGTGCCCGGCCCCGTTAACCCTTCTCTTTCTCACTCGGGCCCAGAATGAAATGTCGGGGCAGCATCACCTGGGCAGAGGGAAGAGCAGAGGGGCCTGGGTCACATACAGCCACGCCAGCCTGGGCCTTGGCATGGCTTCTCCCTCCCCCCAGAGTCACTCCCAGCCCTGTGCCCGGGGGACGAGTTCCCTCCCTCCCCAGCCCTGTGCCCGGGGGTGTGTGACTCCCTCCCTCCCCAGCCCTGTGCCCGGGGTGTGTGTGACTCCCCATCCCTCCCCCAGCCCTGTGCCCGGGGGGGCAAGTCCCCTCCCCTCCCCCAGCCCTGTGCCCCGGGGGGGGGAGCGACTTCTCTTCCCTCCCCCAGCCCTGTGCCTGGGGGGTCGACTCCCCTCCCCTCCCCCAGCCCTGTGCCCGGAGGGGGCAACTTCCCTCCCCTCCCCCCAAAGCTGTGCACTGGGGGGGGGACTTCTCTCCCCTCCCCCCACACCCCTGTGCCCGGGGGGGGGGGTGACTCCCTGTCCCCATTGCCGAGCGAAGGTCCCCAGGGTGCCCCCAAGGGGCCGTGCCTGATCCAGTGTCTCTCCCATCACCCGCGCCGGTAGGGGCTGCCCCAGCCCCAGCAAGCCCCCATCCCAGGCCCCCCCTGAGCCCAGCTCAGGTCTCCAGCACCAGCTCTGGAGAGGAGGCTTCCAGGAGCTGGCTGGGTCTGTCAAAGCCCCGGCAGGGCAGGGGAAAGGAGACTCCTGCCTTTGCTCGCAGCCCGGGGCACCCCAGCCGTCCCCACTGCCCTGGGCCCCGCCCCAGAGCAGGCCGCACTCTGGACACCTGCGGATGGGACCCAGTGTGCCGTGGCTCCCCCATTGCGGAGGGGCAGCTGTGCTGTGTGCGGCGAGGTCTCCGGCTCCCGGGCAGGGGGAGGCGGGCGCTGGCCAGGCCGGGCGGCAGGAGGGCAGAGGCAGCGAGCAAAAGAAAACAGAGGGGCTGGCTGCTCATAGGGCGGAGGCTCCAGCCAGGTTTGTCTTGGCCCCAAAGCCCCGAAAGAGAGAGCGGGCGCCAAGAGAAACGCAGCAGGGCAGCAAGTGGGACGGGGTCCCCAGCCAGCGCAGGCCGGTGCAGCCGTGGGGGCAGGCTGGGGCACAGGCCCATTCGCACTGCAAGCTGGGAGCCCCACCCCACAGACCTCTCCTGAGCCCTGTCCCACAGCCCGCAGCCTGCCAGCTTCAGCACAGGGAGGAAAGGGGGGCAGGGAGTAGGGGGGTAGGAGTGGGAGGGGGGCAGGAGAATGAAGGGCCTGGACTGGGAGGGAGCAGGTGTAAAGGAGGCGGGGGGGCAGGGAACTGGGGAGCAGGAGGGGGAGGGAGCTGGGGATCGGGGGGGCAGGGAACTGGGGAGCAGGAGGGGGAGGGAGCAGGGAGACAGGAACTGGGGAGCAGGAAGGGCAGGGAACTGGGGTGCAGGAGGATCAGGGAGCAGGAGGGCAGGGGGCGGGAACTGGGGAGCAGGAAGGGCAGGGAGCAGGGGGGCAGGGAACTGGGGTGCAGGAGGGGGAGGGAGCAGGGGGCAGGGAGCGGAGGGGCAAGGAGCAGGAGGGTGCAGTAGGGAGGGAGCTGGGGAGCAGGAGGGGAAGGGGCAACGGACAGGGAGCAGGGGGACGGGGGCGAGGGAATTGGGGAGCAGGAGGGGCAGGGAGCAGGAGGGCAGGGAGCGGGAACTGGGGAGCAGGAAGGGCAGGGAGCAGGGGGGCAGGGAACTGGGGTGCAGGAGGATCAGGGAGCAGGAGGGCAGGGGGCGGGAACTGGGGAGCAGGAAGGGCAGGGAGCAGGGGGGCAGGGAACTGGGGTGCAGGGGGGAGGGAGCGGAGGGGCAAGGAGCAGGAGGGTGCAGTAGGGAGGGAGCTGGGGGGCAGGAGGGGAAGGGGCAATGGACAGGGAGCAGGGGGGCGGGGGGCAGGGAACTGGGGAGCAGGAGGGGCAGGGAGCAGGAGGGCAGGGAGCGGGGGGGCAGGGAACTGGGGAACAGGGGGGCCGGAGCTCCTCTCACTGCTGCCAGGCACGATGCACTCGGGGCATCTCCAGGCCCCACATGAAGCAGAGGCCGAGGGGGTGCCGAGCCCCAGGGGTTTCTGCCCCCAGGCTGATTCTCTGAGCAGGCCTCGGGCCCCGGCCTGTGCTGTGGGGCCTGGCTCCCAGTTCTGCCGCACGCCAGGCCCCAACTGCAGGGACGCTCTGGGCCAGTGGCTGGAGGCTGCGCAGCCCTGGGGTCCCGGTCCAGGCCAGCCGTGAGCTGAGGGGCCACTGACAACACGACAGCTTCACTAAGGGGCAAATCACAGGCTGCAGTGAGCCCCCCCCCAGGGTCATGGCACAACCCCCACCGTGAGCTATGGACCCCTGCGACGGCCCCGCTGTGTGCTACAGGCCCCTGCGACGCCCCCGCCGTGAGCTACGGGCCCCTGCCCTCTGTGTCTCCAGATGCCAACCCAGCCTCTGCTGGTCTTCAGTGCCCGTGACTGGCCACCACCCATACCCAGCCCCGCCGATCCCTGCGCCCGGCCTCCACCGGTACCCAGCCCCGCTGATCCCCGCGCCCGGCCTCCACCCATACCCAGCCCCGCCGATCCCCGCGCCTGGCCTCCACCGGTACCCAGCCCCGCCGATCCCTGCGCCTGGCCTCCACCCGTACCCAGCCCCACTGATCCCCGCGCCCGACCTCCACCCATACCCAACCCTGCCGATCCCCGCGGCCGGCCTCCACCGGTACCCAGCCGCGCCGATCCCCGCGGCCGGTCTCCACCCATACCCAACCCCGCCGATCCCCGCATCCGGCCTCCACTGGTACCCAGCCCCGCCGATCCTCGTGCCCGGTCTCCACCTGTACCCAGCCCCGCCGATCCCCGTGGCCGGTATCCACGCGTACCCAGCTCTGCCAATCCCCGCGCCCAGCTGCCGCTGACCCTGGGACCGGACTGTCCCATCTGCCGGGTGTAACATCCTCCCCAGGACTTATTGTCCCATGCGGTGCAGACACATGACTGGCAGGAGCTGAGGAGGAAGGTGGCGACTGATGACTGGCCCTCACATGGGTTACTCACCCAGCCCTCGTCATGGGAGCTCCTCCCCTGGGCTTGGGCCTGGGCCTGGGCGGCACTGACTGCCAAGGGCCTTCCCCTCCCCTGCCCCCCATCTGGCATCAGCCCTTGCCCTGCACGGGGCACAGGGGAGGGGATGGTGCAGGGCTCACATTGGGCCTTTCCTGGGCACACCTCAGCAGCAGCAGCAGCCCAGGGGTCTCCCCAAGCCAGACTCAGCGAAAGTCCCCAGCACTCCCCAGGAGGCCCATGACGCCTGCCCAGGCCCGGCCTCTGCCCTCCCGCACCGAAGGAAGCGGGCATTGCCTGCGGGGCCCACAGCCCCACCCCATGGGAGTCTATGGAGCAGGCTCGGGTGCATTCTGGGCAGCCCAGCGCTCAGCGGGACAGAGGGCGTTGTGTGGCCAGGCTCCCAGTCCCACTGCCAGTCCCTGGGTACTTGGGAACGCACCTGCTGAGCCGCGGTGCCAAGGGCAGCTCCCCCGAAGGACGGGCAGGCACCTTCGGCTGTGACAGGCGCCACGAGAAGCAGACGCACCCAGACGCCTGGAGCTAATTCAGCCCGGACGCTTCCCCGGACGGCTCTGCCCTCCCTTGTCTCAGTGCATCGTCCCTGCCAGCTGCAGCCTCCGCCACTGCCCGGCTGCCCCCGGCGCCCCTTCCCGCAGACCACTGGGGGCTGAGCCCCCAGCCCCACCCCCGAGTCAGCCACTTTCTGACGGGGCCTCTGGGAATGGCCCACCCCAAATGTGGGGCACATAGCCATTGGGCTGGGTTCCCTCACCCCCTATTCCCGTCCGGAGCCCTCTGGGGGGAGCTGGACCAGGCAGCACGTTGGGGTCCCTCGTTCAAACCCAAGCTCCTGCATGCTGTATCATCCCAGCCCACTCCCCCACCCCCCCGGGAAGGAGCTGACTCCGTGACACATCCCCATCTGAGGAGTCCCCGGGCTGAGGTGGGCTGTCAGGCCCCACGGCTGGGGGCTGGAAGTTAGGCTCCATGCCTGGGGCTGTCAGAGGTGCTGGGGGAAAGAGAGCCAGGATCCTTGGGAAGAAGCCTTCCAAGGGGAGTAGTGGAGGCAAAAGACATATCTGGCTTCAAGACTAGGCTTGATAAGTTTATGGAGGGGATGGTATGATGGGATCGCCTAATTCTGGCAATTAATTGATCTTTGACTATTAGCGGTAAATATGCGCAGTGGCCTGTGAGGGGATGTTAGATGGGGTGGGATCTGAGTTACTACAGAGAATTCTTTCCTGGGTGTCTGGCTGGTGAGTCTTGCCCACATGCTCAGGGTTTAGCTGATCGCCATCTTTGGGGTCGGGAAGGAATTTTCCTCCAGGGCAGATTGGCAGAGATCTGGGGGGAGGTTTCGCCTTCCCCTGCAGCGTGGGGCACGGTCACTTGCTGGAGGATTCTCTGCACCTTGAGGTCTTTAAACCACGATTTGAGGACTTCAGTGGCTCAGACACAGGTTTGATACAGGAGTGGGTGGGTGAGATTCTGGGGCCTGCGTTGTGCAGGGGGTCAGACTAGATGATCATAATGGTTCCTTCTGACCTTAAAGTCTATGAGTCTAAGTGGCTGGACACCTGAGTCACTATTTCCAGGGCCGGGGTTTTTCCAGGGCTGGCTAGGCGAGGTGGGGACACGAGGCTGCCCAAGGAGATGCTGGCCGGGCACTGCCGCACCCGGGCCCTGGAACAGTCCCTGCCCCACACGTCTCCATGCAGCGGCGCAGGCTGGAGGAGCAGCGTGGGAGAGATTGCAGCTGGTACCAGCAGGGCTCTGAGCCCCTGGCAGCGCCACCAGGCACAGAAGGGGAGAGTCAGAGCCCCGCGCCCCACAGTGCCCTGCCTGGGATGGGATGGGGCTGGAGTAGCCGGGAGCCTGAAACCAGAGCGCAGGTATTTCCCAGCTGTGCAGGCCGGGTGGAGGTGGAGGGAGCTCTCTCCTGACCCACAGCAGGGCTCGGGGTGGT